TTATTGACCGTTGTTAAGGACGCTCACATCTGCACAAAGAAATTCGGTCGATTTAACTGTATGCAGTTTGCTTTTCTAACTGACAAGACAAGAGCGACAAGAAAGCAGCGGAGAAGTAACGGGCAGAAATCCTCCTTTTTACGCAACGGTCCAGACATAGACATCAAACGGCGACACATATTCAGTTGCCAGTTACTTTGGCATTAGGGCAGGGATATCTAGATACTCTCCAAGGTTTGACATAATGAATTGTGCTACTTTTAAAGCAAGCAGCGATGTTTTCAAATTTGTAATAAAAAAGCTCCTCAAAAACGCTATCGAAGCAGTTCCTGCCGTTGCTACGTTAGTTCAAAGGGTAACAACGGACTATTTTTCTTAGCGGATGGTGTCAATTTAAATCAATACAACTATTTTTTAAATCAATAAAATCATTTTATAAATCCTTAAAAGCATTTCAATTAATATTGGGAGTCATAGCGTTACTTTGTTGAGAATGTGGCCATGTACTGTAATAAGCGGGATAATGTGCAGCGACTTGGTCATTATGGGGAAAAGAACACCTTCATGCCGATCTAGATCCCTCCGCTTCGCGTCGGGCTCCTGATCAGCCTGTCGGTGTTCTTTTCCCCATAATGACCGCGTCGCAGCACATTATCCCTTACTTAATGTAAAAATACTTTGTTACTGTACGATATCAACAACAATAATCCACAGCTCCTCTCTCTGCTCCAGAGGATACAAAAAAATCTGGGTGCCCCGAATTTTTTTTTCGGGGTACCCGAGCAGCACCCTGCCAAGGCAGTAAACCTAGGGGAAACACTGTCTGTTATCATGATATTTCAATGTGGAGCAAAGCAACATAACAAAAATATTCGTCATTTTTCTTCATTTTGCGAGGAGACCGCTCAAATCCCTTTTCACTCCTTCATGTCTTCAACAAACAAATTCATGATTTAAAAAAAGAAGGCCGCAACCATGCACCTGAGATCCCGGATGAAGATTTGTTAAATACATATTTGCTGCAGCACTCCTCCGTAGGAACAGTCCTCTTCATCTTGTCGCCTGCTTTACAGTCAACCAGACCCTCACAGTGCACTTCATCTCAACAGCTATCAGCGAGGTGAGTGGTGTTTAAATGGATTGTAGCAGCATCAAAACAAGTTGATTCATTATAACCACTCATGCATCCCTCTGTGAGTTAATCTGATCAGAGTCTGAGTCTTGTGAAAGGAGACGTGATTTGTTGTGTTTAATGTATTTACTGAAGTGTGTTAGTTCCTGAGGTGACGCCTTGAATTTCTGTAGCTCTTAGCTGCTTTTTGCAAATGTGTTCTAATTGTATGTGTGTTTCTTCGGTCCTCCCGTAGGACACAATCAAATATTAGTTTTATAGATCTAGAAACCACATTTTATGAATGTCGAGCCCAGTGCACTTTGAATTGAAATATTTGACACCTTCCTTTATGTCTTAGACAGCACTCTGACTGGTATTTACACACTATTTATACAGTATTCAATCAGGAAGAAATAGGGATAATGGCTTTTACCATCATTCATAATATTTAGTGTTACTAAAATGTCAATCTTTTTGTTTCTGATTCATTGACAGCTCCCCTGTTGCTATGGCACAGTACAGAGGATTCAAGCAGCTCCTCGGATGTGTGGCATCCATGTTTCTCATTGCGTTGTCCTTTTACCAATGGGACATGTCACAAAGAAAACGAGGTGTGTGTGTGTGTGTGTGTGTGTGTGTGTGTGTGTGTGTGTGTGTGTGTGTGTGTGTGTGTGTGTGTGTGTGTGTGTGTGTGTGTGTGTGTGTGTGTGTGTGTGTGTGTGTGTGTGTGTGTGTGTGTGGGGTTCTTACCGTTCCTGCTGTGCATCCTGTTTGGTCTTCCTGCTCCAGACACTATGTTCATGCTCCACTGCCTTTGACAAATAGCAATTGAATAGATTAATAAATGTTGGCGCTGCGACCTCACCCCATAGTGCTTGCTTTTGGATAATTGTGGCTCACATTAACACTAAAACAAACATTTTGCTCTTATTCCAGAGGAGAGGATCCATGAGACGCAGGAGCTGAGGAAGCAGCTGCTGAGAGAAACATGTGGCGGGGACAAAGAGACATTCAACCACCGTTTAGAAGACGTCAGAGACAAAGAGCTGGAGAACCTCATTGTGGACGACAAACACGGCATCATCTACTGTTACATTCCCAAGGTGACACGCACAATACACCCTTATGGTACTAACTGAGGCTCAATGCACTCACTGTGTCTGTGCAGTGAACCAATTAAGCAGGTTCCTTTCAATAACTCTGAAAAATATGGACATATGTTATTAACACTAACTCACTGCATCTAAATTAAATAAAATAAACTACTTTGCACACTTTTCCAATGTATACTGTATTCTATGTTTATAATAGTAGTAGATTGGTCTATTTTAGAGTATTCTAACTTATTGGATACATTTTATATTGTGTATTATTTAGATACAAGACATTATCTCATACTGTTTGGTTTATTATTTCTATTTTTATTTGTAAATGTTTTTAACTCATGTGTAATGCCTGTTAAGATGCTGCTGTGACAAAACAAGTTCCCAATTTGGGATGAATAACGTATATCTAATTTAAACGTTATGTCCTGTTGCAAGCAGGTACATTTAAGTGAGAAGAGCAAAAAAGGTGGAATGCAAAGACAGAAATTCAATCTCTAAACCGATAAATAATCCTCTCGTAGACATCGCCCCTTTACTCCACCTTATTCTTTTAAGCTTATAAAACGTGGCACATTTAAACCAGGATATCTGCTGGTTACACAAGACTCGAAAACATGGCAGCCTGAGAGCTGAGATTTTTCCACCTAAACTAAATTCAGTTTCAGTAATCTTATTAACAATTATTTACCCTTCTACTATAGCGTGTAGATCCTTGTCCTTTTTTTTTAATCTGCTGGATAACCATATTAACAAAGACACTAATATCACTGATGTGCAACAACACTGGCTGTACATATGAAAACTGTTTTGCAAAGCCACTGCTCGTGCAATTTACGCTTTATTTTCAAATTTGTTTCAAATTTATCTGCAATTTGTCCGGCTCCTACAAGTTTCATATGTTCGCTAACATACTGCTACTTAATTTTTCCATGGTGTACTTATTTGCATATCATTTTATTAACATGTGCTTGCCTTTTTTGTTATTATACAGTATCTACTCTTTTTCCTCTTGCCTTTTATTTGCACTGTACATTTGCTGCTGTCACACCTTACATTTCCCCACTGCTGCAGAATAAAGGATTTCTGATTTATACCAGGTGGCGTGCACCAACTGGAAGAGAGTGATGTTTTCCTTGACCCAGGACGAGCCGTATCCTGACCCTGTCTCGATTTCTCCTGATTTAGTCCATCTCCCCAACACTCTGCCTCTCCTGAACAGCTTCCCAAGACCAGAGATGAAGGTCAGTCCACACAATGACACATCAAAAGTGTCTAACGGTTACAACCAGGAAGCTTTAACTTTTTTCTTTCCTACAGGCCAAGCTGAAGCACTACACAAAGTTCCTGTATGTCCGGGACCCATTTGTGCGTCTCATCTCCGCTTACAGAAACAAGTTCTGGCAACACAATGAGTACTTCTACCAACAATATGGCCGGCACATTCTGCGCCTGTATGCAAACCAGCCTGACCCTCCACAGAGTGTGGACGAGGCCAACACATCCGGGATGAGGGTCTCCTTTCAGAACTTCATCCAGTACCTGCTGGACCCTCTGACGGAGAGGAAGGAGCCGTTTGAGCCCCACTGGAGGCAGATGCACCGCATGTGCCACCCATGTCTCATAAAGTACGTTCATTAATGTCTGTTTCTGGACATGTAAAGTGATCTATGGAGGAACTACTTTATACACAAAGTACACATGGAGCTTTAAAGGTCCCCTATTATCCCATAATCCCCTCTGTTTCAGCTCTGTCTGTTACTTTAGATGAAAATAAGGAGCCCCTCCCCACGCCCCTCTGAGAGAGATTTGGTTAAAAAGAACACAATGGTGCTCTAGGAGGAGATTCAGGTGATAAGGTGGGGGGGGGGGGGGGTACCTTGGTTGGTGATTGGCTAATGGTTACACAACCCAAAAAAACCATTATAGCATTACGAAGTTGCCAAATTCCGATCAGCTCATTTTCAGACAGGTTTTTATATCAATGGATCAGGACAAAAAGAGAGAGAATCTTTTTTCCTGAAACTTTCAGAATCTCTTAACGCAGAGGGGACACATGTTGATGTAGAAGAGACATGAAAAAGTGGATTTTGCATAATAGGTGACCTTTAAGTGCCGTCGATACCCATGAACCACCTAATCAAATCCAAAATTTATCACAAATTAATAATACTATATTAAACAAAGACCAATGCCCAAATATAATAATGAAACACCTTATAGAATTTATGCTAAAAACCACACTCTCTCTCTTTAAAAGACATCAAATAAATTCAAATATAGTTGGGATAACTATTCCAGATGCAGAATTTGACTCTCACAGCTACAAGACATCACAGAGGGAATAACATTGACATTGGGTTTAAGTCCAGACAGTAAAAAAATAACACAATATTTCTTCTTAGAGTTTGTTTAAGACCCTCAGCATACAAGAAACAATTTGCAGGTCAGATGATTGTTATTCATTATGAATGTATTATTTAATGTCTGACTTTTAAGGATTTGTCTCTGAATGGACTTCATTGAAAACCAATTAAGTCAAGCCTTGTTGATGTTGTTTCAATCTTGAGGTTTTCCCTATAGCTTTGTGAATATACACTTCAATGATTTAGAATTGTGTTCAAATAGGGAATCACAGGAGGGACACATTTCAACAAGACAATTACTTATTGCTGCGGCTGAGACTGAAATAAATACAAGAACCCTGGGACGCATATTACAAATGAATGCAATGTCAACACAAAACAATGCTGTGGTTTGACCTGAGTTTGTTTGACCTGCCAGGTATGATTTTGTGGGCCATCAGGAGACTCTTCAGCAGGACGCCTCACAGCTGCTGAAGATCCTAATGCTGCAGGACGACATCCAGTTCCCTCCTTCCTATGAAAACATGACCACACCTGCTTTTCTGTTAGACTGGTTCAGCGCAGTGCCCCTAGAAGACAGGAGGAAGCTGTACGAGCTCTATGAGGAGGACTTCAGGATGTTCGGCTACAAAAGGCCTAGAGAACTGCTGGATGGTTGAGAGGACATCATGACCACTAACTCACTGCTGAGCAAAGAACAATCTGTTAAGGACATGACAAATACTCAACCACGTCAATTTAAGTTATTATAAGCATTGTGGTTATTTAAAGGCATTTGTCTTTGCACAAAAGTCTTGGGAATTATTGTTAGGGGTTAGGATTAAAGAAAAAGCATGCCAGGAGGTGGGTAACAAATAAGCAAATCCACAATAGTTAAAAACTAGAAAATCAAAAGACAGGGAGATAACTAGGACATGGTGAAACAACAAGGGAAATAATACAGGAAGTGATGACAAAATGATACAGAAAGTGAGGAAACTAATTCTAAATACACAAAAGCCTCATTGACATGAAGCACAGGTGGAACAAGCCAGGGTGGGGCAGACAATTACAATGGCGGGAAAACAAACAGAGGAAGAAATGAAACAAAAAAAGACACCATGGATGGAATGAAGTCTAGTATGTTTGATTTTTTTTTATAAAAATGGTCATGAGATAAAAATCATAGTACATCAATAAGTCTCAACCAAAATGTCAAACTTAAAGGAAATGTAATATCAATGGAACTGTACTTAAGGATCAATGTATTATATATCTTAATAAAGGTACACACACTCAGTCAGAGCTACTTTACACACACTTGAAGAATGCTTACATGTTTGATTTCTGGGTGGAGGGGGGTAAGAGAAGCACACCCACAACCAGACACTTTTTTATGCTTTATTACAAAACAACATGACAAAAACAATACATCTTTTAAGTTCCACACTCACAAAACAAGGTGATGGTGGCAAGGTCCATCCCGTGAGGCTGAAATACATTTCACATTCACATGTTCCAGTAGCTGTGAAGGTGAACAGAGACATGTCACCTGTCAGTTTCTTGCATGTTGAGATTTCCACACTGACACGTATCGTCCTGCTGAGCTGTGTGGCAGTGCAGGCAGGGACAGCCCCGTCACTGGAGTCCGTCTGAAGGACTCTCTCCACGGTTCTCTGCTCTCTGACAGCCACATCGCTCTGCCTGAAGCCCAGGATTGATGCTGCATGACGGGACAGTCTGTGGCTCAGCGGTGTGTCAGAGAGAGGAGCAGAAACACAGAGAAAGAGACAGAGGTGCTGAGAGATTCAAAGTGTCAGGAGAATGAGAGAGCAAACAACAACAGGAGTAAAGGAGAAAACAATATGGCTTTTCAATGTCTACACGTGTAGACACTTCATCTTTGATTTTTTTTAAACATTTAAATTGCGCGACATCACAATCAGCTTGGACTCTTCGTATTTACATTTTATATTATGACACATTTTTCAGCTGTGGCTCTCATCCTGAACGCCTCACAACACTGGTTTCTCCCGCACATGCTTAATAAACGTATCGTATATTTCTCATATATCTCTGTAGTCTCTCTTCATGCCACAGCTCCCGTTTAAAGGCATTTAGCAGTAGCCATTTTGCATCCGTCCTGGGACAGTTCAGTTTTTTTTGAGGATGCTAAATGGCGCATCAACTTTTACATCAACCTTTCATATTGAGCTTTCTTCACACTGAGCCAGTGGTGCTGGTAATTTAAACATGGGAAAGCTTGCTATCTCCTCCTCTAGTCCTTTTATTCCATCCCCCAACGCGTCCCCCAGCCCCTCATCCACCTCATCCCCAGACTCCCTCGTCCCCAGACTCCCCCTCTCCCCCGTCCTTCCATCCAGCAAATCTGCAGCTAAAATTTCAGAGGCGAGCTTCAGTCCACTGTTGCTGGTGTTGCAGTTGGAGTACAGGGAGTTCCCGTGGCCATTGCTGGGGCTGATCAGGGTGCCGCTGTAACTATTGCCATGGTGACCACCATTCCCATTGTTGCTGAGGAGCGTTGTGGTCGTGTTGGAGGTCACCGTCCCGTTGCGTTTTTCCGTCAGCCTGAATCCATCGGACAGCAGGCTGGCGCTGCTCGGGGACTGGGGCGTGGCCGAGGAGCCCAGCAAGTCCCGCCCCTTCTCTGACGACAGCGAATTATCCGGCAGGTGGTGACCCTGGTGGACAATGCTGCGCCGACGGGTCAAGAAGTAGAGGAGGAACGCACCAAACGCTAAACCCAAAAAGAAGAAAAGGATGTAGATGGCCAGCACGTGGCGCCCCCCTGCTGTCACCACTACTCCTCCAGCATTAGGTTCTTCTCGAGTCAGTTGATAGGCTGCTCTGCGGCAGGGGGTCAGTTCTCTGACTCCTGGCCCTGCCTCCTGGAGAATAGCAACATGACACAGAAAAATATGACTGTTTTAATCTCGCAAACAGTTAAAACAGGTACTTTTAAACTCTGCAGTTTGCAGTTAACTGGGAGTCTTATAGCAGGATTCAAATTTAACAGGCTAAATATGCAAAGCTAAGTTTTGAATAAACGTATGTTTTGCCTGTGTACCTGGCAGGTGCAAATGTAGTCTCCGAGGCTCTCCTCCGTGACCGTCACCTCCAGGTCAGAGTTGTGCTGCCGGGTGTGTCTGTGGGGGGGGTGCTCCCAGCTGCAGGGCCTGGGAGACAGCTGGACACATGGCAACAGGAGACGCAGACCAAGAGACACTCGCAACTCCCTCATGGAAGGACTGCAACGCCCTGGAGGAGACGGCACGCAGGGAGCAGAAGAGAAACACACAAGGAGAATATGTTAATGTTACACAGGCTTGAAACATTTTTGCACTATTTCTATTGTTATCTTTGCCAAAATTACATTATAGCTTTTTGAATAAAAAATGAAATCACGCTTACCCTCCTCTTTATCACACTTTCTCAAAGCGTTGTCAACCACATCACCTGGACCAGGCCTGGACACACAGAAAACTGGTAATTTTGTACACATAACCAAACCACTTTCCAACCCAATACTGCTGCTGTCTGCCTTTATTTTTACATTTGGAAGGTTTCCAGTTTTATATTCCAGCAGTACTCACTCTGCAGTGGTGGGCCTGCAGGCGGCCTCCTCTGTGCTCCAATCACAGCCCAGCCCTCTGGCTCTGGCACACTCTTTACAGTCGGAGTACAGAGTGCAGCCTTCAGCCTGGACCCGAGCCAGAGACAGGGGGCTGCCCACCAGAGCCAGACCCTGCAAACACATGGAGACATTACAGAACCACTGAGCTGCAAAACAGAGCAGATGGAAATATGCAGCATGTGTGTGAAGAACTGTGCCAATACCTGGTGCAGTAAGATGTTGTTGACGGGCTCCTGTGAGCTGAACAGAGGAATCTCCTGCAGCAAGGTGGCGTTCTGTCCCACTACCGCCACCCGGTGGAGCTCCCCTCGATCTGCAGCACACAAACACAGAGTTTTGAGTTCATTTCTTCACGCTTTTGTCTTTTTTACTCCCTCCTTTCTTCTGAACCCTGCCTCCCTCTCCTCACCTGTTCCGAGGTGCAGCACTGCTCCCTTCTGCCTTTCTCCGCCTCCCATCTGCGTTACAGCCAGCTTGGTGTATCTGACTCCCTTGCGGACCAGTAGAGGTGCTGCAGTAACGCTGTTCTCCATCAGCGGGTGGTCCCTCACAAAAGTCAACACCTTGTCGGGAAGTTTCAGGGAGGACTCGTAGCCCTCGGCCTTCAAAGCGTTGTTCAGACACTAACAAATGTAGAGGGAAGGATAGAAAAAGTCTGAGTTATTTGTATATAATGAAAGGTATTTTATGAAGTAGAGGTGCTGATAGTACATATGCAGTAGTTGTGTGGTTGAACAGTTTAGTACCTGTCCAGGTCTTGGTGTGGGGACAGGTTCAGGGTTTATCCAGTCGCAGGTCTTCTTCAGCTCTTTAAAAGGGCCGTCCATCACTTTGCTGATTTCAGCCAGACTGAAAACACACACTGCTGACAACTCCTCATGCTCCCTATGAAGAAGACAAATAAATGTTCACATTTTAGGCCATGCTTCTGTTACATTTGGAGGGAAAAGGTTAAATTAAGTTGTTTGATATGAAAAGAATAGTTGACATTTTGGGAAAAACACTTTCCATTTCTTAGTGAGAGTTATCTGAGAATGTTTCTCACACTGTACATTCAATAAGAAACTACAGGCAGGAGACAGTTAGCTTAGCTTAGCATAAAGACAGGAAACACTGCAATCTCTGCTCACTCTGCCTCCCTAAAAAATATTCTTTCCCTCCTTTAATAGCTGGCAGTTAATTGTCAATGACGCAACCTAAAATGAAAAAATACATAATCAATTACATAAATGAAATTAAAAGTTAAAAGAAGCTCTGTTTTCCCCTGCCTGCTCCTCAGCTTACCACTGGGAGGTGAACAGTCCGTAGAACTGAGTGCTGCTGGGGTCTCCCGGAGTGTGTTGCGTGGTGAAGACGTCAGTGAGGATGTTGTAGCGCTGCCCGGTCGGTCTGTCCTCACACACCAGCTGCGCCTTGAGGAAAGTGGTCCAGCGCCGCTGCAGGGTCTTCATCCCTCCCACATCAGACTGAACAGACAGTGGGAGAAGACGAGAAATTAGGCAATTGATCTATCAGTCAATCGGTCAATGTATCACTCAATTTAATCGCGATGGGTTACCTTGCAGACTCGTGCCACCCTGGGGACTTTGACTTTGGTGTAGAGGTCGTACTCTTTGGCCACCTCCGTGAAGAAGAAGTAGATTTTGTCGTCGTCCCCTATCGGGTTGTTTTCTGCAGACTCCTCTATGAAGGCTGAGCTCACAAACTCTGGGTCTGAGAAACACACACACACACACACACACAAACACACACACACACACACACACAGTTTGACAGGCCAGTGTTTTATGGTCACCAGTTGGCTCAACTTCTTTTTCCTTTACAGTACATGTGCCACTTTGTGTGTGTGTGCGTGCATGTGTGCGCCTGTGCCTATGAGGTCATTAGGAGCAATTAGCTGCGGCATCGCTAGTTAGAGGCCTGCTGATGGATTGGAAACATCCAGGCTAACACACTTCTTCAGATACATCTCCCTCCATAACAAACACTCTCTGTGCTCACAGTGTGTGTGTGTGTGTGTGTGTGTGTGTGTGTGTGTGTGTGTGTGTGTGTGTGTGTGCGCGTGTGTCTGTGTATGCATGTATAAATACGCCCTGGAGCAGTTAAGGTGTCTGTAAAATGCCTGAAGAATCTCATTTCCATCAGAAGGCACTCTTAACCCTTTCTTGTTTTCTTTGTGCTCACTGCTCCATGGAGCGTCCTTGCTGTGAGTGTCATGTACGCTTAACTCTGCGGAGACAGACAGGCAGAGGAGAGAGACATTCACATATGACGCACACAGACTGGAGATCTGATCGGGGGGAGGCTGATAGGGGCGCAGCAGCAGCCGTGGTAGTGGCGGCGGATGGAGAGCGAAACGCGGAACGCTGTTCCGGGGGTAATGTGAGCTGACTGCGTTCCTCAGGGATTGTGGGCAGGACGAAGGGGAGAGGCAGCATCAGGAATACCTGGTGCTGCTGAACCCAGAGCCCAGCTGGGAGTCCTGGGAGCTATATCTCAATCCTTTCCCCTCTCCTGCATGAGGGATGAGTCTAATGGGCCGTTATTTTAAACGGAACACGCTCCACTTCGGTTCACGCTGCACGCGCCTGCACATCACATCCCACGTGAGCTCATATGTTGTAGAGAGATTGAACCAGGTTTGTCTGTTGAGAGGGCCTGCACTGATTAAGATGTAGAGAAGGGGGAGAAAGTCTAAGTTCACATGCTTTATCCAAAACAAAAAAAGCCATGGACTCTTATTTAAAAGATATGCTCCTTGAGGCCTTGGCCCCGCAGCAGAGACGCTACAGTGGGATGGAGAGCATGATGCATATTTAGTCCGTCTTCCTCAGTGTGTAAATGCAGCTATGCATTCACTTCTTAAGTCATTTATCTTTCTTTTCTCCTCTCCTATCCTCACCCTGTCTCCTAACATATGGTGTGCAAAGATGTGCCACACGAACGCACACACACGCACACGCACGCACACACACACACACGCACACACACACAATTGTGCAGAGAACGTACAGGATTGTGACCACGTGTCAGCATTCTTACACATTTTTTTTTACTAGGCTGAAAGAAAGTTGTCAAGTCAATTTTATTTATATATTCCAAAATTAGAGAAGACAATTCAGCAAATTGTCCGGAAATGGCTTAATATCAGTACACAGCATCCTTTATCCTTACAGCCTTGTTTGAGATTATAAAAGTCTTCCCTAAAAAAACTTTTGATAATGAAAATAAGGAAGAGATCTCAAGAGGAGAAAACAAATGTTTGATTAACATTTTCAACAGAGTGATTTGACCTTTTTATCACTTTAACCTGGAATTGTGTTTGTTGGTCTGTTCCTTTTTTGCCAAATTTTGGTTATGAAGACAAATGATGCTGACAGTTTGATTTTGTAAAACAACCTTGAGATAATGGTTATGACAATGTTGATTTTTGATGCTGCTGTTTTTTTAAAATCATATCTTTGTGTTTCCTTTCTCTACAGCACAAAGCAAGGGTGGAAGCCATGATGTGCGACCTGGCCTCGCTCCGCAGTGTCAGGGAGTTTGCTGATTCTTACAAGGCCAAGAAACTGTGAGTATTAGCCATAGTATATTTTGTCTCTCTGATATTTTAATGCATTTGGGAAAGAGGAGTAAAAAGTATATTCTATTTGACCTTATCTTGCAATCTCCTTTCTATGATTGCTCAATCTTTTAGAACACAATAACTTCTTTAATTTATGAATCTGCTCTAAAGATGAAAAGTTGCTCTATGCAATGTTACAGTTGTGTGTTCGGGCTAAAGGAAGGATTACAGCTTCCCTCCAAACTCCAAGGTAGCTGTTTTAAATTGAAGCTCCCATGTTTAAAAAAAAACTTTTGGATCTAAAAACGTATCCAAAAAAGGTCTAGCAGCACGTCCAACTAATAAATCATCACATTGTCTTTCAGTCATTCATAGCTCACGTAGCCTTCAGTACCATTTAAACTTTAAAACTGATTTCATTCTGCTTAGACAAAGGAAAGAAAAACATAGGAATAAAGAAACAAATAAATAAAAATAGTGAGGACTCAACAGAGTCTCTCATTCACTTAATGTCCGTTACTTCCCACATACACCATACTTAAAGGACGTCCAAACTGTTACTGATGGACACCATATGGACAAGGCCCCAGGAGTAAATTTGTCTATTTATGTCCGCTTGCTTGACATTGGTCGAAACAGACGACCAGACTTGATGACTCTTATTTTGTGTTGGTCAGCTTTTACCGCATGTGTCTTGCGTACCGTGTTCGGTCGCACAGTTGCTATTTTGGGGTCATGTATTCTGTCATCCATACTGCTCATCCACCCGCAGGTGTGTATGCAGGGGATTGTGTGTGTGTGTGTGTGTATTTGTGTGGGTGTTAGTGTCAGGGGAGCCCCTTGGGGAGAGGCAGGGCAGTCATTGCCCGTAGCAGCCCTGGGGCAGGGTATGGCCATCCAGGACACGTGTCTTGGGTCACAGCCAAACCTTACCGTGGCTTCCCTCACCCTGTGTCCTATTGTCCCCTCCAATAACGTACATGTATCCATCCCGTCCACAATGCACTACATTAACCCCCTTTTATATCTACTTCCTTCAGAAACCCCTCTCCTTGTTCAGTTTTTTGCATATCCCTTTTTGCAATTTGTTTATCTCCCTCTCTCTTACACATGTTGTCTCTCCGTCTCTCTCTGTCTGTGTCGCTCTCTCTCTCTCTACCTCAGTATTTTGGCAAGGTTGTATTTCTTCATTAGCTGTGCTGTTGGGGGGGAGTGGGGGAGTCCCAGGGGACGTCAGAGTACATTAATTCTCATCAGAAGGCGAACAGAGCAGAGTGGAGGCTGGGAGCTCTGAGCTGTGAATGGCACTGGGCAGCTGTCTGAGTCTACCACCACTCTATTACTGCACGTATGTCTTCAGGCATAACACACACAGGAGCGTGCACACACAACATGCATGTATATGTGCATACATGCACAGACACACACTCAGACAATTCTGTGAGCAGACGCACATACATACAGTTTTGTAAACACAGAGAGACAAACGCACTAAAACACCCACACAATAATGCTCCTGCAGCGTGTCAATGCCATGTGAAATGTAATCAGAGTCTTTTTCTTTTCCTTCTCTCGTTTCTCACTCCCTTGCTTTTAAGTGCTTTAGTCAGTGGCTTTCACGCTGCTTTGTGTTCCATTGACCCCGATTCTGTTTTAATTGCCTGTCCTTTGAAATGAAATTACCTGGATATTGATATTGTTGAATGCAGTGCAATTTCATTGGGATGTAATTGATGGAGGACAGCGTTGACAGAATACCCCTAATACAATTTCTACTGAACGGTCCGTAATTAACACACACAATTTGTTTTCACCTGTGATTTTTTTAAACTGCATTTATCCTGTACTAATTTCAAACATATTATGTCTAATAGGTGGTCTTTATAAACACATGCAAGCCACTTCACATCAGTCTAGCACTCTCTGCATTGTAGTGACCACAAAGCTGTTGAATATGTGTATGTCTCTTTACATTTCACAGGTATACACTTCTGGTGTGAGTGTGAATATGGATCAGGATGAATGGTGGACGCATGTCCGTATGTTTGTTGCCTGTGCCAGTTTTCCTGTTGCCAATAAGTGCAGTGTTAATGACCAGCAGTCTGAGCCCAGCTCACACAGGCAATCTCTTCCTGCTGGCCCACATTATCACAGAGGTCAGGGGTCATACCCAGGGGGGTTATTTAAAGTAAATATATAAACTGATGTCTCCCTGTTTGGTAGTTAACACCCTCGTTTGACCAGCGCTGAGATTGCACAGTGCACACAGTGTTGTGTGAGTTCTTAATGTGGAGAGAGGGACTATGGTGCGCGGCAATAGGCCTATTAAAGACATTCATTAGACCTGCGCTTATGAGAGAGGGACTAACTGGTGGGCAGTTGAATTAACAGGCCTTTTACAATACCAGCAGACTCACCTGAGGCCCATCTGAGCTGCGTGGGGGAAATCGCTTCCCTGGCCAGAGAAAAGTTGGTTATTAGAGTTTTTGATCACAAATGTATGATACCCTTTGTGTGACATACTGATTTTTTATTATTGGGTAATGTCACAAAAAAAAGGACACAAATCGGATTTAAATCTTAAGAGGTGTTTCTGACATATTGATCCATTTTAAAATAACAGCTTCATTGAAAAGGTTAAAAAGTTAGGTCAAGAGTTCAGGCGTGGTGTTATTGTGCAGCTTTGAGCCAGCACATTGAGCCAAGAGTTTTGCTTTGTATAGCACAATGTTACTGTACTTCACACTCTATTAGACAGGGGAACACTGGGCCAAGAACAACCAACTTGTTTTGTTTTTTCTTTCAGAGCAGAACTTCACATCACAGCTAACTGTATTACTCGTCTATCTTGTTTTATCAGGTATAAGCGCAGGTCATAAAGGTAATTTATTTACACGTATTGCCTACTAAGTTAAGTTAAACATCCTTTCCTCTTTTGTTTTTTTGGGAGGAAATGTGAAAACCTTGCTGCTGCTTTGTGCTCTGATGATAATTTGCTGAGGTCGGCATTCTTCAAGTTGACTTGAGACTAGGCTTGTGCTCTTTAATGAACCTTGTGTGTTCGAAGGCCTGAAGGTGATCGTACAGTACACTCCTATGTAATAGCATGGGATGGCTCATTATAGCAAGGCATAACAATTCACACATTAATTTTCCAGCATCCAGTTTTTAATTAATCCAGTAGGCAGTCTTAAACACAGGGTACACAAATTGCCTTCGGCCTCATAATTAATTCTAATGGAAGAAATTAAAAATTGGTGGGGTGTGTTTGGATTGTTCGGCTGTGTTACTGTGGTTTCGAGCTCGCTGGAGCGACGCTGTCACCGACAAGGATCTCTCACTGCCCTGACCAATCCAGCAATCTCCATTCTCTGGCACGCGAGCAGGGAGTGTTTCTCACTCGCCCACACGATGTCTGCAAGAATAGAAATGTGTTGCGTGCTGTTCTAAAGCACATGCTTTCTTTTATTGGTCCCTGAAATAAGTGAGTGGTTTTTTACATCATGACTTGTATTTCCTTTAATCTGCTCTCTTCTGCTCAGCCTTTTTGAGTCGATGTGTTGGTGGGTTTTGTTACTCAGAGTACTTACACAGAGCCGGTATCAACATCCATTACTTTCACCAGCCTCGTGTGTTGAAACGGTTTGAGATTGCTTCTCAATGTGTTGTTGCTGTTGGACTGCAGCCAGCTGTATTCAGTATCTACAGTACCTGTCGGGCCATGGGGAGTTTCACTGGAAACCTCTGTATCATATCAGCATTACTGATGCTCTGTCTCCGTAGACCTCTTAAGTCTACCAAACTGGAACAAGACACCCCGTTTCCTTTCTCTGCCTTGACCTCTTACTATTTCATTTTTTTTTTTTATTCTTATCCCTGTCTCTCCTTACCTTTTCTTTGGCCTAAAATGGTATGGAAATCCCCCTTTTATGCTGCTGTGTCTTCTTTGTTTTCACTTATGATCAATAAACAATAAAACATCTTTTACCTTCTGCTTTCTTCCCTCCCTAGGCCCCTTCACATTCTGGTGTGTAATGCAGGCGTGTGCACTCAGCCCTGGAGCCTCACGGAGGACGGCCTGGAGTCCACCTTCCAGAGCTGCCATCTAGGCCACTTCCTGCTCGTCCAGTGCCTACAGGAAGTGCTGCGTCGCTCTGCTCCCGCTCGTGTTGTGGTGATATCTTCTGAGTCCCACAGGTAAAGTGTGCATTTGTATGAGACACACACACACCTGCTCTCCATTAAATAACTTCTCAAAAGAGCTACTAGAGGTAGAACTAATTATACAGGGTACCTAAGAAAAAAATGACCTAATCCGTGTTACACATTGTATTTTATTGCCTCAAAATGACCTTAAATGACCTGTAAATCTCGTTTTTCCCTTCCCAAAGTAGCTCGTCTTGCCTTATTTATGTCTCTGGGTTTGGAGGTATAATGATCTCCTGGAAACCATAGACAGACGTGAATTGAACAACCACTTCTTTGAGGGACTCTTGCATAATGACATGCTTCTGAAGCAATTGTGTAAATTCTGATTATTGCCAATATAAATACAATTTACTTACACACTACCTGACGATTAACACATTTTTGTTTAAAAATGTTAGAAACAATTGTACCTACTTAACGCTCCAAAAAATGTGTCCTATCTAGCTACAAGGTAAACATTGTGCTTTTTCACAGAGTAAATTATATGATAACAGGTTCCATATTGTAAAATTAAACCACCTGGCTGAAAAGTTAAGGAATTTTGTTCAACGTACGCAGCACCACACTGTGGTTTTTCCTGAATTCCCAACGTTCACAGTTAAGCCATATTAAAGTCACCAACTTTTCATCTGCAGTCAAGCAGTCATAGCTGCAGTTTTTCACTACAAACTGGTAGCTCAGAGCTAATGCATATTGTCAAACATGACAGCCTCACTCACTGAAAACTCATTTCCTTCCACACGCTGTCGCTATGAATTAAACGTATCATCAACATGATGGATGGATTTATCAGCTAAAATTAACTTTGATCAAGTATCTGCTGCTTTCTCTCTGACCCCCTGACTCAGCCCCTTTCTCCCTGCTTTTCCCTCCGTCGGCCGACTATCGCTTTTCAATTCTCTCTTTTTGTACATTCACTTTATAGGTTTCTGTTTTTCCTGTCATTCAGTAGACAGGCATGATGTCTTGCAGTGATCTGTGAGCCCTGAGCCATGTGTTTCAGAGTCAGTGAGTGTGTGTGTGTGTGTGCAACATTGATCCAGTCTTGAGTCAGTCAGACGACCAAGCAGAGTGATTGATCGGAGCTCGGCAGAGTGACCTGAGACAAGGAGAACATACGCAGAGTTATTCTAGCAAATCAAACAGCAGCACTATTACCGGGGCCCTCGCATGAGTTATGTTATACAGACTGCCATGCATGAGAGGACTGGAGCAGCGGAGGAGATGGTTTGACACTCAGATTCACTTTGGGTCACACTGCTATTACATGCTATAGGAAAGGAACAGGAAGACAGAGTAGCAAAAGCTTATCGAAAGAAAGCGCGTCATGAAGGGAGTATTGACAGCGTTTGATTGATGCAAGACTTTTCTTACACAGTAAGAACAGTGAGGTCATACAAGTGTTGGCAGGGTGCTATTGAAACTGTGTCTACTATTTATTATATATCGCTGTAAGGCCAAGAATGATCAGTTATTCTCTTCACTTTTTCGTCCTACAGCTTCCTCTCTCTCCTTCTCTGCCTCCCCAACACATATACTCACCTTTCCTTCTCTCCTCTACACGCAGCAGTGGCTTTAACCCCTTCAAAGAGGGCTTAGTCAGGACCAGAGAGAGTCAGTTACACACTGACAGACTACAGGGAGGAGAAGAAGAAGCGAAAATAGACAATATCTTATATTACATCTTCCATTCTGTGCACCTCATTCCAGACCTATATTACATCTCTTGAAGTCGCACCCTTTTTTGTTTGTGTTACTTTCCGTTTCCGCAGATTTCCCGTTTATTCACTTAGCCTCCCCTCACACGCAGTGTGTGACCCCTGACCTGGCAGCATATTGTATTCCCTAAGCCCCTTGTCCACTGGTAAAGCATTGACCTATAAGGGACAGGGGTGGAAGAGATGGACGGACGGGTAATGGCTGGACGCTTTATCAGTTTCCACCACAGGGGCTTACTGTGGAATTGGCCCAACACAGGTTTACTGCATCAGATCTGGTCAAACAAGGGGAGATGTTATCCTTAATGAAATTACCTCTGAGAGATCTAAGCTGCAGCTTTGGCTCTGTACTTTTATGTACAGAATATTTATTTTAGTTAACCGAAATCTATATAATCTATATTTCATTATGCTCTTTTATGTGAATTATCAGGCCGAGTAGTTCATGGATTGCAGCGAGAATTTATATCTCCCGCATTTTAGGTGTTATAGTAATAAAGAGGCAACATCAAAGCCAACTATTAAGATCAAAGTACGTTGGAAATTATGTCTAAATCTATGGTGTCACACATGTTGGACCTTTAACCATGACTATAAGCTATTATGAAATTCAAATAAAAAACAAGTTATCTGATATTCAACAAAAAGAAAAACACATGCTTTTGAGTTTGGACCCCTTGTTATCTATTTCTAATTAAAAAACTTACATCAAGGGACCACTGAGATGTTCAGATTTAAATAATAGAGTACCCTGATTAAAGAAGGAAATGCATTTCCTAAGTTTTAGTTGTCTGAAAACAGTAGGCCAAGCTGAAATTGAAAAGGATGTTGACGTGAAAAAGGTCAGTAGCCCATTAAGTCATCCAAAGGTTGGTTCCCCCGATTCTGGAAACTCATCCTGGTAGTAAAACAACATTTAGTTTTAACCAGGCACAACTTCAGCATAACGCGTGAACAATTTTGGGGGGAAACTGCATTAGATGCTAAATCAATTGATTTATCAACCTCTACTTGCTAAAGTAGTTATGAAGTCGCGGCACATGAAATGAAAAGCCTGCAGATGTTGTAATTTAGCCAAGCAAGGATGTTGCGGAAGGCGACAGTAAACAAGAGGCAGCGAGCTTGTAAAATCACAACAAGGAAACCAGGTGACATTTTGATTGGTTGTTTTCTAATGACTGCATTAATATGTGGGATGTGTTCCGCCGGTTTGGAGCCTATGTCTCTCTCTCCCACACATACTCAAACTCGCACGACACCCAGGGAGTGTGGTTCTTGTTCCCGTGTATTGTGATGTTATTGCGTGACTGCATAATAACACAACGAGTAGTGTAATGTTTAAGAGGCCTTGTCAAACATCTGGAGTTTAACAGCTCAGTCGCAGGCAATTAAAGAACATCATGTCACGTCTTTGATTTGTATGCAGCCAGCACCACACATCTGGCGACACACACACACACACACACACACACACACACACACACACACACACACACACACACACACACACACACACACACACACACACACACACACACACACACACACACACACACACACTCTGACTCCTCTTGATCTGCACTCTGTTTCAGGTTCACAGACCTGATAGACTCCTGTGCTAAAGTGGACCTGGCCCTGCTGTCGCCCCAAAAGAAAGACTACTGGTCCATGCTGGCTTACAATCGCTCCAAACTCTGCAACATCCTCTTCAGCAACGAGCTCCACCGCCGCCTCTCCCCTCACGGTGTCACATCCAACGCGGTGCATCCTGGGAACATGATGTACACCTCCATCCACAGAAGCTGGTGGCTGATGACCTTTATCTTCTCTCTGGTTAGACCCTTCACCAAGTCTATGGTAGGACACAAAACCAATTTAAAAGAAGTGTTATAACCTTGTGACTGCTAAAACTGTAACACAACCTGATCAATGGCTGCCAACTGAAAACCTTTTATAACCTACAGATGTTGGTAACTACCAGATTGGATTGGTTTACATTTGGTAACTTGAAGAGTTGATCTGTAACCTGCTCTCATTTCCTACATGGAAAGAAAGCCGGTGAATTTACCACACTATATTTTTGTTCTCGTGTCCCTTACTCAGCGTATATATTTGTCTTGGCACGTTCCAGGGAGAGAGGAGAGGAAAGGGATGGAGAGGGGTTGATCTGCTGAGTGCTGAGGGCTCAGGGAGAGAGCCTGGGTTTCACAGATAGAGAGATAGTCTGTGGTTTGTTTTCCTCTTCCTCCTGTCACTGTTTATTTAACTCTGAGATGCGGTTCCCCTATCCTCTCACAAGGGTAGGCGATATTCCAGATCCTGTGTAGCGCGACTATTAGGTTACAGTAAATGCACTGCACAAACTCAAGTCTCTACTCCTTTGCAGTCATGTACTCCAGAGTACTAAGATAATTATCTCTGTCAAATATGTTTTTACCATCTACCCCATTCCCATCAGGAGAACCTATTACCAGATATTTTCAGATGCATTATCTGAAGTTTTAAGTCATATTAGCAGGCCTACTCAACTTTATATTTCACAGACCTGTCTGAGAGCAGAGTTACAGTAAAGACGTTATGTCCTCACAGGCTGAGGGGTACAAAGGACTCCAGGTGCTGTGCCGAGACCTGCAGTGTTTTATCTCTGTAATTTAGAAAAATAAAACAAGATTCCCTTGGAGAATTGACACTTGAGTGTGATGGTGGTGGGAGTTAGCGTGTCCCTGTGACCCTGGGAGCTGTGTTATTGGGTTAACAGATAGGGTCTTCCTTTGGTAAACTTGTACCATGATAAGGGGCTTGGTAAACACAATTATCATTCTATGGTGGGGAAGGAGCTAAAGGTCCCGCAGAAGATACATCTGAATAAAGTTTCAAGTATCAAATACATACAAGTTCTGTGCCTTCATTTTTAAGGACTCTGATTTGAAATTGGCCTCTATACATCTTTGTAGGTAGGCCTCCCTTTTTTTGGCCTATGCTCTCAGTGCTTTGGAGTATCTGGCTTTCTAGTTTGTCTCTCTTTGTGTTCAGAGGAAGGGATGGAGACTTCTCATAGCTATGTTTATCTTACAAAAGTGGGTCTTGCTGGATGGGTGGTTTCAAAAACACAATGCTTTTACCCAGGAGTCTGCTGTTTGGGTACGGTGTGAAACCATAATTTATTTATTCAACTTGTAACTTTTGAACTGAAGTAACACCACTTCTATACTTAGTTAACCTAAGCCACATCTTATTTTGAAAATATTGTGCATAGTGTATTTTGACAATTGTGTTGCCTGACACACATAAAGTAGCGCATAACAGATATCTTACACACCTTGTGTGAAGTTATTATGACTTTATTGCTCACCTGGGCAATGTTCGATCGAGCTCTGAAGAGAGGAGATTAAAGGTCCCATCATATGCTTTTCTTGTTATTACCCGTCCCCTTGTGTGTTATGAAGCTTTTTATGCATGTAAACGGTCTGCAGAGTCACAAACCCTCAAAGTACATCCTGTAGCGAGTAAAACTCTAACACAGAAAAGACCTGTCTATGCTGCCCCAGAACGCCTCGTTGGAAATTTTTTCTTCCAGGGCAGGTTGACGTCACTAAGTCCAAATGGACCAATCCGCACACACACACACACACACTCAGCCTGAGTTCCGCGGAGCTCCACAGAGCTCAGACCCCATGCAGCAACCAGGAAACGACACCAGTAAGCCGGCTCACACTGTCCGCTCCTCGTGCCCCACAGGGCGGAGCAGCGAGCCCCGCAACGTCCCGCCAACACGGCACCCAGACCCCACGGAGCATTCTCATCTGTTTGTCATTACTGGTGTCATTTTCTGGTTGCTAACAAACGCCATTGTAACACATAATCACTGATGTTCAGCTGTAACGGTGGTGGACTCATCAGAACAGAGTGGGCGAGCTGACCAATCACAGCACAGTAGGCTCATAGGAAGGGGGGGGCAGGAGCTCCAACAAGGCGTGTAGGACAGAGAGTGAATACACATACTATACAGAGATGCTGTATGAGAAACTAATGTGATCTTGGAACATTGAAAAATTTAAATCTATTCTAGTAGACCTCCACAATGGAATTATGATCAGTAGAAATGGCCATGACATGGGACCTTTAAGATAAATAGTCTGTCTGATCTGAACCTGGGTGATGATTTGTTATTGGTCTTCTTGAAAATGAATAACACATTTTCATGCCATACAACAATTTTCTCATGCAGTGTTTGCATTGGAATGAGTTGTAACACATCTACTGTACAGTAACTATGTCCTGTCGATAGCATCTAAATAACATCACAAAGTTAAACAGCTCAGGTTTCCTCTCAAGGCAATAACCTCTATAGTACAGCAACTCTTGTGAGTGTGTGGGTGTACAACACATGACTGCATAAGAGTGTTCATAGCACATGTGTGTGCTTATAAGGTGATGTAAGGTGCCGGAGGTTAACGTCCTCACACACCTTGGATATGAACGATAAAATACAACAGCATGATTTATCTTCGTCTATATTGTGTCCTCTGCTCTGTAAGACTTTTCAATTGTTAGCAGCTCTCTACCCTTTAGGCTCCATGGCCTCCTAATATATGCTTTACTTTGGCTATTACATCTTTCCATTAGCTAGTCTTCGTACTTTATCAATTTAGTGTTTGCACTGAAGGGAAAATGTGATGTGTTGAAAGGCAGCGTGTTGGAGTTTTAGTGAAGCGTTATTCTGATCCATCATGTCTGACAGAGACAAGGCCCCGGGCCGTCATTTGTCTCTCCTCCTTCTGACATGGCATGAGAGATGAGAGGAACTACTCTTCAGCACCTTTCGCAAAATGCCACGCTGAACATTTCCTCAATTTGACTTTTCACTAAACACTCCACTCCCCTTTTACCGTCGCTAACATTTGTCTCTTTCATCATTTGCTGTCTTGTTTCAATCTATAAACCTGGTCTGAGTCCATTTTCGCTGGACCAAAATCAGTTTAACATGCTTTCATAACCGGATCATTTGGAAGTGTACCCTAGAGTGTATGACACTGTGGTGTTCCTCGTGTGTGTAAGAGAGGGCTGTGTAACATTTTGGATGCGAGCGCACAGATGCAATTAGCAGAGCGGTTTCTCCTCCAGAACGGGGCTATGGCTTTTCTACACGTGGTTAATTAAACGTAGTGTGGATGTTAGTAAATATTAAAGGACAAAGGTAGAGCTAGTAATTAAATTCTGGCGTGCTGACACAGCGATTAGCCTAAACTCATGTCTGATAAAGGCCACACACAGACACACACACACACACACACACACACACACACACACACACACACACACACACACACACACACACACACACACACACACACACACACACACACACACACACACACACACACACACACACACACACACACACACACACACACACACACAGAGGCACACCCTTAAGCTGAGCATTTGCTCTTATTTAAATCTGGGCGTGATAAGGCCCCTGAAAGTGTATCCTCTTTAAAATCCCACTCCTCACTCCTTCTGCCCCCACATTAAGGGCTTAATAAAACAGTGATATTATTTCAGTTATTGGTTGCAGGGATATGAAGATGGTATCGCTTTAATTGCTTGCGTACGCTTGCGGGATCCATGGAGATTGTTCTGGGATGCAAACATAAGCAGAATGTCGACTCCAAAAAACAATCACAAAGCCCCCGTGTGTGTTCTTGCGCAAATAACCAGCCTCTCATTTAAAACACAGGTTTGATTTATAGGAGCACAGGTGGAGTGATATACAGTTGCCCTACACGAGGAAAAACACACACATGGACAAGCGCACACACATGAATTAACAATATGGAGACTACCGAACCACCTGGAGCTACATGTGGTCCTAAATCTTTAATTTGATTGTTGCAGTAAAGGCGAGGAAATGTCATGTCAGGCCATAAGCTCCACATTTGTCCATCCAATCATGTCCATGCTTTCCTCCCTCATTAATTGTGCGTCATGCTCTCTTATTTTATCAGCGCTTCACTTTTACCCTTCACTTTGATCTTTTTGCCACTGCCTTCTGCTCGCGTATTACCAACATATATTTTGACTTCCTCAATTTTGCATCCTTTGTGTTGTGGATTCTACTTAAGGGAAAGAAACTTCTCTATTAGCAGGAAGCACAGCCCACTCTGCTATTGATGTACAGAGCTGATTTCTTTTTGCTGAGTTGAGAAAGGCATCTATAAAGAGCCATGACATTTTAATCAGCCAAACTATCTCTCACTAACATCATGTTCCCCTCCCCGCGCCTTGATCTACTTATCAGAGATTGTGCGACCAGGCCTGTAACTCCTGTTTCTTTAATTCAGCGTGTTTAGAGTGGGAGTTTTCCCTGTGTCCTATACTGTGATTATCAGCGTTGAATGATCTGGCCTGCAGTGGTGTGAATGTGCCCCGGATATGTGTGTGTTAGATAGCGAGACTAAGGGAGAGCAAGAGAGGCAAAAACAGCGCTTATCAGAGATAATGCTCAACATTTGATTGATGCTGATATTAGTTGATTTATTTGATCTAGGATATTTAAGAATAAAATGTTGGGTCTCTGACGTTCCTGCTGTAAAAGTTATTAGACAGTTGACTTCAAAACTCATATTAAAACGGCACAGAATGAATTTCAGTGACTGTTGCAGTTATTAGTTGGGCTGTAACCTTTGTGAAGTTGTCACCGTCTTGTCGCGCTGTAACGCTGACCCTGTGACATTTTGTTGACTGACTGATTGCTCCCTCAAGATCAGTGTACCCTCAGGCTCCTAGCAGCTGTGCTCAGCCTATACTCATCTAATCTATACCTTAACTATAGGCACAGACAGTAGTGAGCTGAA